AAAGATATATGATTATCTAAAAGCTTTCAAGGGTTTTGACATTTTTTTTGTCCAAATTCTTAAATTGTGTATGTTTTAAGCTCATGGGCATAATACGTATATCCGAAAGGGCAACAAAAAAAAAATACATTTTAGCGTAAATCATTTATCAATAATCATTTTAACACAAATCATTTAGCAGACTTTTATTTGTAATATGTAGCAAACTTGCAGACTTTTGATGAGGAAAGGGAGTTAATAGCAAAAGCTGAGCACATTCTTTTGATTACAGCAGCTTAGCAGCAAGACATAGGGTGACGGAAAATATTTCTTTGACATCAGTGGGAGTTAAAAACCAGGCTGAATGTCCATGCGAATGGTGTTAAGCTGCTTGTGTACCTAATTTCTGGACATGATGATATAAAGCAATGCAGGGAATTTGTTCCTTAATGAGCTTTGGAAGAACTTGAGGTGGTAGTATGTACTGTGATGACTGATCATATTTCACTGAGCAGGCAAACTGTCAGCTTGGACATACTGCAGGATTAGTTTACTTTCAGTACAATGAGGCTAGCAGAATCAAGACATTTGCCTCTAAGAACTGATTCTCAGGAACTTTTCAAACATTATAGAAAGAAAAACGACAGCTTCCTGAGTTCTAGATAGAGTTCATAGCTTTACAATAGGAAATTACAGCAAAAGATGACACTTGGAAGGAACCAGAACAGGGTTTGTGATTTTCCATCTCTTAAGAAACTCAAATGGTTGTCCTGCAAATCTGCTTAAAGCGCACTATGCACCTCTTCCAGATATGAAAGTTCTCAGGGGAGCTGTTGAACGATGGGAGCTGGTTAGATGAGCAGGAGAGAGGGCTCACAGAATATGTGCGATGTGTGCTATCTCCAACTTGTAGCCAAATTAAGAAGTATGGCCCTGTTCTTCCTCAGTCATTAATAACAAGGACAAAAGAAACAAAAGGAATTCCAATAACCAACAACTTTTTATGTTTACTTTTACTAAAGGATATACATTAGGTTATACATACATAGCATGATAATTTGCATTGACATGCCTGCACTGTCTTTAAGCATGCCATATGGAGAGGAAATCAATTACCTAATCTTTTCTGCATCAAACAAGACAAATGGGTGGCAAAGAGTAGAGAAAAGTGCAATATGGTAAAAGGATAACGGAAAGAAAATGGTCTCTCTCAATTTACACTATTTAACACTTTATAGCCTTTCGGAGAATGTAATCTTTAAAAGAGAGTGGCAGGTGATACATGATCGCCATTATAGTAGAGTACTGCCCTGCAGAAAACCAAGCAGGTGGATTCTTCTTTAGAACTTCATTGACCGTCTTCTTTGCAACTCTTCTGCTGGGGTTGCTTTCTGGCCTTGTGAGAAATATGCTCTGGCTTTGATTGATTCTTCAAATTGCTTGTATAACTTCCACTCTGGCATTTTGACGTAAGTCGCGATAGCTGAATTTCCTATATTGGACTTCACAGCCCCAGGGACAACATTTATTACATCAATTCCAAATGGTCGAAGTTCCAATCTGCATAAAACATTACAGAAAGTTGAATTGATAGAACTTCAACGCACTCAAAAGTAATATGCATATGCAATCATGTTGCTGTATACATATTCGTATTTTATTCAGAAAACATGCATGAAGACTTCCAGATGAGGATAAGAACATGCTCTGAGATACTGTATGTCGAGAATGGGTACATATTAAGTAAGAGTCTGCCAGAACATGAAAAACATGTATTAAAGTACACAAGCCAGATACAAGCACAAATTTCTTAAAGTTCCAGATCCAAGCACGAACAGAAGATCAGTCAAAGAAATGGAGATGGCAGAGGGATGGATTTATTGGTAAGCAGGAGAAAGTTGATCTTTTCTCCATACTATAGCTTTAGCAAAAGCCAGTGGGTCTGTAAAGAAGTATAGTGGAGAAAAGTAAAAGGAGAAAACTCTGACAAATCGACCCAAAGTACTTAATTCCAATACGAGTGTATGCAAAGGCTACATTGAACGATTTTCAGTCCAGAACTAAAAAGATCAATGATTCCTCACCCTCCGGGCTGTCCACATAAGTCACAAGAGGAACCATCCTTAGTTCTATTCCCAGCTTTACTTTGCTAACCCTTCTAATGCCATTCCTAATGCTTTTTTCCCAACCCAGGTAAAGTTTTAACTCTTCAGTAAATTTCCAGTGTAGCTATAAGAGACTAGCAGTTTCTTCAGATTTCTTTCACAAAAAGCATCAGCTAACATGAACCACCTGTTGGGCAGATCATTTCACCAGTTAGAATGGCATCCTGAGTGACCTTACACAGAAAAAGAAATGTTAGTTTTCTTTGGGTTTCGCTTTCCAGATGGTCTCTCTCCTACTCCCTTAGTGCCATAGCCTCAACAAAGGGGTCATTTACTTAATTTTACCTTATTATATTGGAATTAAGAAAAAGGGAAAAAGAGAGAAGAAAGCTCTTGGTTTAAGTAGTTGTTCAAAAGTATGGAAGTCAAATTCAGTTAATGTATGCTTCCTCTCCGCTTCACAAAACTATTCTGACTCTCAGTCTGCTCTCTCAACCTTCAGATGATGCTCCTGACAGTCAGAACATTAGCAGAGTCTAGTTTGTAAACTTCCCCAAGGAAAATCATGTCCTTTTGCAGATCTACTATAACTGAGTCCAGTTTTTTCCTCAAAACAGAGAACCTCCGGCTTTGACTTTGCTGCAGCATCCACAAACTTCAGCAGCCTTGTTTTTTAACCAAATGCTTGCCATAGAATTTGAAAAAATATATATATATATATATATATATTTGCTAGTGCTGCTTTTGCAGACTTAGCACCATGACTTCTATTAGTCATGTTGAAGAGCCATGAAAATCCATGACTCTGCTATTAAATTTTGCAACTCTAGTCACCTTCTTTGTTCTCTTAGTCATGTTGAAGAGCCATGAAAATCCACCACAGGGTTGAGTGAATTGAAGGATGGGACCACAAAAAACCCCCAGAGCTCCTTTGCAGTCATAGGGGAATTGTTCTTCATAGAAGAAACCAAACACGGAGTATACCTTGTTTTTGGGAAGGGAAGATGAAGTAAAGGAAATGAGAAAATCTTCTGGACAATGGAAGGTGACTTCTGTATTCTTGGTTGTCCATAAAAAAAAACAATATTTATTTAATTTCACATAAAAGGCAATATTTGAGTAAATAACCCCTCAACATAATGTAGAAGAACTTCACTGAGAATGTGCAATCTGCCTAGCCAGTCAGAGTATTTTATTCTCCCCGTTACCTTGTGCAGGTTCCAATCTGAAAATCAGGTTTAGCCTACTGGTAAAGGGTCCTGATTCCAGCTCTTACAATGATTTTCTGAACCTCATAATCTTATTTCTCTCCCAATTGCATTATGAAAAATAAGAAAACAAGTGCCCCAAATCCAATCCTGGATATTTCCCCTGAATTTTACACTTCATTTTCTCTTCCCAAAAGTTCAACCATGATCTCTGCTAGCAAAAATGTGTTTTTCATCAGACTAACACATATTTACTGATAGCCAGCAATAGGGCTCATATGACGCATTATACTCCATTGTGGCATTTCTTTCACATCCCCATTATGCTCTCTTGTACCCCAAATGTGTGCTCTGTTGTGCCCCATTTCTTTCACATCCCCATTATGCTCTCTTATGCCCCATTTCTTTTCTATTTCTCATTTGGGCTGGGTGCAAGGGAAATTTAATGCTTTTGTGATGAAAAAAAAAAGATGGAAGAACTTATCTTAAAACAGCAAATTTTCGCAAACCTCAAAGTGTCGGTTAAAGAATGTAGAGCAGCTTTGGATGCAGTATAAACACCCGCCCAGGGTCCAGGGCCAAGGACAGTAACACTTCCAACATTTACAATCTTTCCCTTCTTCCTAGATTCCATATGAGGAATTACAGCTTGAATCAACCTCATGGTACCTATTCATAGATAAGTAGACCATAATAAACACAGGAAGCTAAGACAGCTTCAGTCAATGAGGTATAGAGGTACACTGCATAATCTTCCTCAATGAAATTTAACATAGAAATACAAGCTATGCAAGTGATGGAAAACAGCACAAACAATCCAGCAAAGCATGTGAAAGGAGGACTCATAAAAGGCAAAAGAAAAATTCTTGGTTTTATGAATTAAAAAAGGCCAATTGCCATTTGAGGATCAGAACAAGAACATACAGTTTTTCTGCTGGTTGAAAATGTTCAGAAATGTGAAATAGTTAGTATGCGATTGGCCACTTGAATAAGTTTATATCAACTAACAAATGTAAATATTGATGTGCAGTTATTGTGTGGGAAACTTGATGACCAATGCTTGGACTATTTGCTTTGCATCAGATCAGAAGAGAGGATAGGGAGTGGTATGACAGGCTCTTAGAAAATCATGACATTCTTTAAGCGACAAAGCGAATGGATGTAACAAGGTTCGTGGTGGATTTACTGTGCCATGATCCAACATTGTGGAGCATCTTCAAAGACAATTTTCAGGCCATGGAGAAAAATCATTCTTTCAAAACACTGATAGAAATGAAAGACAGATATAGTTGTTTTTCATATGGATCAAAAGTCCTGATATAGTCACACGCGAGGCTTCTGAAAATCTTAGTGTAAACGTAATTGCCAGTTCCATATAGAATTTCCCCAGCATTCATATTGATGCATTCAAATTATTCTCAACAATGTAAAAACTCAACCACTAAGATGACAACATTGACCAAAACACAATAAGTCAAATCATTCTTAAATCATAGATTCTGAAGATCTTTTTCATTTAGCCTTCCAATTAAAAGCAGAATTTTGGTACAGGTATTAAGGTTGATACTAATTAGGGTTAAATGCAAAAAACCCCCACAAACTATATACCCAGTTGCAGTTTACCCCCTAAACTATAATAATAGGCATTTTGTCCCCTTGAATGATATGTTTGGACAATACTACCCCTACTATCTTAAATCCTTTCTTCTTTTTTTTTTTCTCTATTAGATTTTTTCATTTTTTTTCCTTTTATTTTCTTTTTGCTCTCCTTGTCTCTTGGAACTAACCAACATCTCTCTCCGATGTGAAAAGACTTACATAAAAAATTTTAATATTTTTTAAACTACTTTTAAATTTGTTTATTTGTTAAATTCATTCTTAATAATTTGTCATAAACTCTTTGTTATTACAAAATATTTGTAGCTTATATTGTAAAGTGTATTAATCAAATAATTCAACAATTTAAGTACCTATAAACTAATGAAGAGTTTACAGTTACTCAACTACTTATAATAAAAGTAACATTTTATATCACATAAAAAAGAAAAGTTAGCAATTGTTATTTGTAGTGAAATAAAAAATAAGAATAAACAACAATAGTAGTTCATCTTTTTTGTTATTGATACTACTAATGATTGATTAATCAATTTCTCTATTTTGTTATTATACATTTGAAAAGTTCAATTTCTTAAATGACATTGACTTCAACATTTGGAAAAAAAATCTTGTATTCCATAGATTTTTTTTTTTTAATAAAATATTGGCATACGAAATTAAGAAATAAATTTTTGACTAATCTAGTCTACTTATTTAAACAATGTTTAAAGAAAAAAAAGAAGAATTTAAAAAGAAAATGATAGGGAAAAAAGAAAAATAACAATACTTAAAATAAAAGGGATAGATTTGTCCAAACATATCATTCAAGGGGGCAAAATGCCTATTATTATAGTTTAGGGGATAAACTGCAATTCGGTATATAGTTTGTGGGGGGTTTTTTGCATTTAACCCTACTAATTATAGCAACATGACACTTCAAGTATATGCATCACCTTATTGACGGAAATAATGGTGTCTCCAGTCGCTAGATTCACATTGTACTAACATAATACTATTTCTTATCTAGATATGTTCTTACATTGACTGAAAAACCAATGTCCCTCCATGAACAACTACACCAATTTTGTCCATTAGTACACTAATTTAGTCAGGACAAATAGCTTGAACTACCTGACAACAAATAGTCAGGACAAAGCAGTACAAAATTGGGCAAAAATCTAAGAAAAACAGATTCAGGCCACCCACATAAATTAAACAAAAACCTAAGAAAAACAGATTCAGGCCATCTAAGAAAAACAGATTCAGGCCATCTAAGCAAAACAGATTCAGGCCACCCACATAAATTAAACAAAAACCTAAGAAAAACAGATTCAGGCCATCTAAGCAAAACAGATTCAGGCCACCCACATAAATTAAACAAAAACCGTATACACGCAAGGAAAAATTGAAATTGAAAAAAAAAAACAATTTAAACAATGATCAAACTCTAACCAAATACATTAGTATCGAAGGTTTGTTGAGCATTAGACAAAGGGACCTCAGCAAGAGGGCCAATGCACTGAACACCAGCATTGTTAACAACAATATCAATCCGTCCAAACTTCTCAATAACACTGGAAACCACACGATGCACGCTTTGATCAGACAAAATATCAAGTTCTTGAAGAAAGAAACGAGGGTCATTTGACAAATCAGCCATGGAGGACAACGATCGAGCTGTGGCCACAACTAGGCAATTCTTGGCTGCAAAAGCTCGAGCTAGAGCGTGGCCTATTCCCCCTCCTGAACACCCTGTTAGTAGCACCACCTGCTTGCCCTGGTGATCTTCCATTTTGGGCTTGTTCTTGAGTATGACTGAGGGAGAAAATGAGAAGCGAATCGGTGGAATTCTGAGGTGAAGAGGTGGAGCCGACAGGAGTTTCCGCGCAAGCAACTTTGTAGTTGACGTGTAGGTTGTTTGCAGTTGGGAAGATCGGCCAGACAGCAAGTTGGATGGAGACAATGACAGCGTTCCCCTCGGCCCTCAATAGAACACCTCAGCAGGCCAGGACGTGTGTGCGGAGTGGCTTTCCCTCATTTGATCAAACATGTAATGAGCCATTGGCTCTCCTTAGCATCCAAAAATAAAAAATAAAAAATAAAAAATAGAACACCTCGGTAGGTAGTCATTCACCCACCCCAATGGCCTGTGCTCTAAATCTTTCTTTCTTTCTTTCTTTTTTAATTTTACAAACACATTTACCAAGAGTAAAATTCTGTAGGAGCACTTCCAGACCACAATAATGATTTAAATTGAAATTGCATATTCTCCCATCCCAATTTGATAGTCTTAATTTTGTTTTCTTTTTCACACAATTTAAGAAAAATTAGTCAGTTTTGTTAGAAGAATAAATCTAATTTAGTGTTTTTGTAAAATACCCTTATATTGACTGCTCATCCTACATTTACATCAATTACAAGAATAATGTTTGTGAAAAGTTGCACTAGCCAAAGTAATTATTGATGGAAAGTTGAATTACGTTTTGGAAAAGTTAACTATATCAAATTAGGTAGTTTATACTCATAAAGTACATTAAATAAAGATATTTTAGAGAAATTTAAAAGTTAACTATATTCTTTAATTAGAAAGTGAACCATTATTCCGGATGGATAAAAAAAAAAATAAGACTGTCAAAATGAAAGGACGGAGCAGGTAAAAAAAATGGACGGACACAAAACTCAATATTGCCTCAATTATCTCTCCTATGCTAAAGCAACAAAAGAAACTTCAACTGCCAAAACTCGTCTTAATCTTCTTCTTGATATTTATAAATAATTGATCCTTTTCTTTCAAATCTTAATCGGAAATTGTTTTAACCTTCTAAAAGCGTTTAATATCCACATTAAGCATAGAATGTTACTGTGGAAATTAAGAAAAATTTGTATAGTTTTCTGTTTAGTTATGTAAGAAAAACTTAACGTTGTCAACATTCTATTGAACCTCCTAGATTAACAACCTTCATGGCTGGTGAGGCTGACAACTGCAGCTTCAAATGTTTTAAGTATTTCAAATAGAATGAAGAAAAAAGGTTTGGATTCCTAAGTGAAGGAAGTTCACAAATTTACCAAATAATATAGGTGTATTTTTATGCTACCAAATATTATAGCTACAATCATCCCTAGGTAAAATGGGTCAGAATTCACCCTAGAGGTATAATGATGTTTACTACTTCCATATACAGGCTAACTATGCTGCGAGCTATCGATGTTGTCTTATTTTACTCCATGAAGTGGAGGATTTTGATATTTTTATCCTTTTTTTAGGTATCTGTGCAATTTCCACAACTGAATGATGTATTTTTTTACTCTGTGATGAAGACATGAAATCAATATCATGTTATTTTAATGTAGGATGTAGCTCATTTTGTAGAAAAGGAAGTAGAATTTTTTAAAGGGATAATTTCAAAGACCTCCGTTGAGGTTTTTGACAATTTCACTCGGCACCCTTCAATTTTAGAAAATTACACTGACCTCCCTTGGTTCAATAAAATGACTACAATACCCTCTATTTAATAGATAATTTACCACATATGTGAGACACAAAAACCAAACCAAAAGTAAAAGAAAAAATAAAAACCTGCAACAACTTGTCATCATCCCCAACCTTAATTTAATTAACAACAGTTTCTTTTCTCTTTTCCTCCCTTTTTTCTATCCTTTATTATTTTCTCCTTCCTGTGTATAACCCCAAAGTCTCCCCCCCCATCAACTACACCACCATGCAAACCTACTTGAGGTGTTTATTTTTTGTCTACTTCTGTCTTTCCATGGTACTTAACTATCAGCCGCTCTTATTTATTTCTTCTCGTATTATAATTTGTGTACATTAAAGAATAAAATTTTCCAAAATTACAAATTCAGGGAGCAAATGAAAATTTCATGGTCAAATTAGATGGAGATGATGCAGATGGTTGTGATAGAGGGGCAAAAAATGAAATTAATGGGCTATGATTGGAAGAGAAAAAGGGACGAATCTAGGCTATGCTATTATGTTTGTTACACATTAAAATCTAATATCTTCATTTGGTTTCATTTTTATTTGATTTACAAGTATTGGTGGTGGTTTGTCACAAAGATTAGTTTCTCTATTCCTAACGCCATTGGAGCATGGGCTTGCTCTTAACATAGGCATCAATAGTGGTTGACCAAGTCCTTTTTCTATCCAAGGAAGGTGATAGACGATAGGTGTTGGTTTATAATTTGAGGTGTGATATTAGTCAATGGACAAAATATAGTGTTAATTTGGGGCAGGAAGCTTTTTGAGGGTATTTTAGTTGGTGGTGGTGGTTATGGTCGATTTGTAAAGAAAGTGATTCGGGTAGAGTTTGGGATTTTGATGATGCCGAAATTGATAGAATTTGGGGATTAAGTTGGACTACAATTTTGGTAAAAATATGGGATTTTAGTGATGCCAAAATTGGTAAATTTTGAGGATTAAGTTGTGTGACGACCCCACCTCCCCCTAAGGCGTACCAAAGGGTTCGGCGGACCGCCTGCCCAACTCTCGCCAGGACTCACTCACTAGCTCATGCGAATCACGTACATACACATCCATCATGAACCATAAATAACATTCCCAATTCAAGCTTATAACATACAAGGATAGGAATCAGGGTACAAAGTCTCGATACTCAAACTAGTGCAAAACGTATACAATCCAAGTACAAAATGTTTCATTCGAAGAATAGCGCGAGTACAGGCCCAAAAGTCAAAGTTCAAAAACAAAAGGCTACGCTAGTCTTTCTCAAATCTCACGCCTCGCTCGTACCCTTGCAAGGAAAATAAAACTAACGGGGTGAGCCAAAACTCAGTGAAATTCCCAAATATCAAATTGGTCAACAAATCAAGTGATAACAAAGTAATAGTGAAATAGCGAGCAAACAAGTCCAATCAGGAAAATAGTACTTCAGATAGCCAAGTAATATTAGGTTCACATTCACATGTAAGGATACAGTAACCCATATCACGGCTCCATTCCAGCTTGGTCAAGTGGTAGTTGACACTCCGCCAACTTTCAAGTCATAACAAGTCGAAAATAAAACTCCACTACACGCCAATCTCCGTCCACCAATCAACCCCCTTTTCCGGGCCCGCACGCCACACGAAACATGGGTGGTAATACTCGAGTATACCGTTTAGTCGGGGAGATAACACTCCACCCGACATTACAAGTGACCCAGGGTTCATTATCTAATCGACCAGGCCCTTGCCGGCTCGACTCGATTAACTAGCCACAGGGTTTCTGGAATTCCAGGCAAGACATATCTCAAGTACATGTAGAGCAAGTCAAGTGTAATCAATAGCAAGAACAAGTCATATTAGGGCAAGTGCGGTAAAGTATACCCTTGCCCTATCATTCATTCATCATGTAATCATGTAAGTCAAGTAAGAAGCACATGTACCAAGTACAATCGGATATTTGGAAGCACTCACCAAAATATAGTGCTTCAAGTATTCACGTTCACTTATACTCCAGGCTTGGAGTCCAGATCTGCGATAAAAATCCAATTTGAGAACTTTGAAACACGAGTAAGATTCGAAACTTAAACGTTCCGTTCATTAAGAATCGTCCAATTGAAATTCATTTGAAAGACATTCGTGAAACACTTGTTCGCTTTTCAAATCGTAAGGTTTTTGTAGCATATATACTTGGAAACAACACTTGAGTTGAAAATACAAGGAAATACAAGTTTACATTGGCCATTATATCTTTTCCCCAAGGTTACAAGTTCGTTTAGGTTTTAACGTATAACCCTCGATAACAAAGTAGCAAAGGTGCTCACTAGTTCAAGTGATATCACTTAACCTTTACACAAGTTGCAAGTATCGTTTCCTAGTCCTCGAGTGTAAATTCGGGCAGCATGTCCTTTGTGTTTACCTAATTTTCCAGCCATTTAGGCTTCAATCCTTACTCAATCCAACCCAACATCATCCATAACATAATTTCAGTTCATTAGCCATTCCATAGGCTCACAACAACACACGAACAAAGATTAAGCTAATATCAAGTGCGGAAATGCAATTACAAAAGACAGATTTGACGGGCTTTGCGGAAATATCATATCCAAGGCTACGCTTATCGGATTGATACGCAGCTTATACCATTTCGAAGCTAAGGAAAAGGCCTATAACTTTCATGAAGATCACTTAGTCAAATTTTCAATGTAACCTGATCAAATTCCCAACTCACATAACCTGGTTTCAACTATTCGGCTAATCAACCGCACCTCACTCAAATGACCATATCTCAGTCTACCAAGGTCCATTTAAGGCGTTCTTGGTGGCGTTACAAAGCTAAGACAAGTTAATGAAACTTTCATGTTTTGGTGGAAGGCTAAATCCAAACGGATTATAGTGAATAAACTCAATCAAAAGGACTGAGCTGTCCACGCGGAACTCTGGAAATTAACCTAGATCAGCGAGGGTATTTTCATCTTTTC